ATGACCAAAATTTTCGGACAGAATGAAGAACCAAGAACCCTAATTTTCCAGATTTCTTCCAAAACAGAAATTCCTTGCAATCTTCCACCATTTCCACCCTCTAGAGTCATTATATACCATTTCCAATCATCATAGATAGCCACACAATCATGTTCATTTTAAAACAGAAAAATTACCAATAAATAGAAAACTTCACCAATCCAACCAAAATCAAGATGTAATCCATAAACTTGCATCTCATTTCATCACCAAGCATGAATTAAACATTATTAGAAGAAGAAAGTGGTCCTTCACAACTTACCTTAGAACAAGAGAGAGAGAGAGTACTAGGTCCTCTAGCTTTCCAACCAACTCCACACAACACCTTACAAGCACTAAACTAAGAGGTTTTATGGAAGGAATTCAAGATTAACCGGTTAGTTTGTGAGATTGGGCAAGATTGGAGTATGAAATTGAGAGAGGTTTTTCTTGTTTCTTCAAGGGAGAGAGCCGGCCAAGCTTGCTATGTTTTTGAGGGATTTTTGGTCAATTTTTGGTTTTATTTAGAATTTGGAAAAAGGTTGAACAAAAAGTCAAAACAAGAATTAATCATATGGTGACACATGTCACCCTATTTAATGCAAGTTTATCACTTTGTCTCTCTCCACTCTCATCCATATATCAACCTTCAATTATCTCATAACACCCGATAAATTAAATGCAGTATTCAGAACTTAACCTAGTTGGCCGAAATTTTCCGAACTTTTCGCACTAGTGGGTCCCACGTCCAATATACGTTCTTAATTTCTCAAAAACTAACTAATACTAGAAAAATCATCTAAAAACTCTATTTACTCAATAAAAATTATCTGGGGAATTTTCTAATAAAGAAAATGTAGAAAAATGGGTTTTCAATCTTAACCGGAACTTAGGGTTTAAATCTTAATCCCTACTTAGGGTTTTCGAACTACTCCCAAAACCAAACGTTACCGCCCAATTAATGAATATATCAACGTAGAACGAACTGGGGCCTCACAATCTCCCCCACTTAGGACAATTTCGTCCTCGAAATTAATTCTTTGGTCAAAGCGTACCTTCAAAACCCGCTGAAGGATTAGTCACTTCCGGTCGACCCATTGCATAGACTCTGGCTGGCCCTTTGGGTCGATTTTCCCCTGCATTTGACGGCTTAGCTGTAGTTTCTTCAGTCGGTGGCTTAGGTTTCTCCTTTTGTGACTTAGGGCACTGGGCGATCAGATGTTCTGCACTACCACACTTATAGCATCTTCGGATCGAACTGTTCTTCCAACAGTTTTCGTCAGTGTGATTGGCCCCACAGAAACCACAGATTGGCTTAACGCCTGCACTTGGCCCTCCACGCTGTGCACTCCTCTGGGGCTCTTGCCCTACTCGACCTCTTCCAAAATTACCCTGGTTTAGGGTTCCTGCGGGTCGGGGACCATCTGTTCCATGACTCTTTTTAGAAGGTAACTCACTTTGCGAGCTCTGTCCAGTCACAAAGTGGCTCGAATCGGGTTGTCTTCGTTTCCTCTCATGAAAGGATTTTACCTGTCCCCTAGCTGTCTCAATCCGCTGTGCCTTTTCTAGTGCCTGGCCAAACGTGTCCAACTGAGCAGCTGCCAGTGCCTCCTGGATCTCCACATTTAAACCTTGAACGAAGCGGCGGATTCGTTTTCGCTCCGTTAGCACCAATTCTGGGGCAAAACGGGAGAGCTTTGTGAACTGGGTCTCGTACTCCGCTACGCTCAGTGTCCCTTGACGCAAACGGATAAAATCATCTTCCCGTTTCTCTTGTACGATGGGTGGTAAATATTTTTCATTAAACTCTCGCGTAAAGTTAATCCATGTCCAGGGAGTCTGTTCCCGCTCCCACTTAGCTCTGATTACATTCCACCAGGCTCGAGCGGCCCCCTCAAACTGGAAAACAGCAAAAGATATCTGCCGCTCCTCCGAATACCTAAGTGCGGCAAATATATCTAGCATACGGTCCATCCAGTTTTCTGCTAGGTCAGGGTTAGATCCACCTACAAACTTGGGGGGTGCGAATTTTTGGAACCGTTCTAAAGCACGGTCCTCTCCCTCGTGATTGCCTGGATTATTTCCAGGGTTTCCAGCAGCATTCCCGTGGCCCTGACCCTGTTGGTCAACCATACGTTCCATCAAGTCAGCCATTCGTTGGATGGCTGTAGCTACTTGGTCTGGCTCTTGTTCATGTTCCAGTTCAGGGTTTCTTCCTCGCCCTCTACCCCTACCTCGAGTACCGGAGGCCATTTAAGTGCCAAAAGTCTATGGATCCAAGCATAACGTGCGCTTAGTATTCAAACGCACAAAGCACAAAACAAATATACAAAAAGCACACAAGGACAGGTGCAAAAGATAATACTCGAATATTTACATCAATTTACAAAGTCACACCAAAAGATATACAAATTTCCCGACCTCCAATCGGGTCAAAATCCAATATACACACGAGCACTTCGGCTCCAAAAATGTAGTCAATTACCGGGTAACAAAAGAAACCAGACATACTGGTTATAACAAAACATGGCAGATATAACAAAATAAACATATCGAACCTGTCGGGGTTGAAGGGATACAACCCATGCCCAACGAAAATAAAAATGGTCAGTGAGATAAAACCCGAGCCCGCTGAGGTTGGAGGGATAAAACCCATGTCCAACGAAAATAAAAACGGTCGGAGGGATACAACCCATGCCCAACGAAAATAAAAATGGTCAGTTGGATAAAACTTGAGCCTGCCAGGGTTGGAGGGATACAACCCATGCCCAACGAAAATAAAAACGGTCAGTGGGATAAAACCCGAGCCTGCCGAGATTGAAGGGATAAAACCCATACCCAACGAAAATAAAAAACGGTCAGTGGGATAAAATCCGAGCCTGCCGAGGTTGGAGGGATAAAATCCATACCCAACGAAAATAAAAACGGTCAGTGGGATAAAACCCAAGCCTGCTGGGGTTGGAGGGATACAACCCATGTCCAATGAAAATAAAATAAAAAACGGTCAGTGGGATAAAACTCGAGCCTGCCGAGGTTGGAGGGATACAACCCATGCCCAACGAAAATAAAAGAAACGGTCAGTGAGATAAAATCCAAGCCTGCCAAAGTTGGAGGGATAAAACCCATGCCAAACGAAAATAAAATAAAATAAAATAAAATAAAACGGTCAATGGGATAAAACCCGAGCCTGCCGAAATTAAAAATGGTAAAAATGACAACACAAATTCTATGCTATTGAACTGAAAAATTAGAATGCATGTTGCTTAGGAGGTAATAAACCAAGAAAACTTACCTGGTCGACTTGCAACTCTTTTGATTTTTTCAAACTTTAAAAGAAAGGGAATAATAACTTTTTTTTCCATGTATAGCAAAACTTGGAGTTCAATCCTTCTACCGTTTGCCCCAGTTTAAATCATGCTAGCTAACCCAGTATTGTGTCATATAATTTTTCTGCAAAAAAGAAAAAAAAAAAAGAAACAATCGTGACAGAAACACTGCCACCACCATGTGATCCCTTTGCCTTGAGAGTCGTGTAAACATGACTTTCAATATCGATAAATCGGCTCCTTTAAGTTCGATCGACAACCCCTTCAAAATCTTTGCAACTGCCCAATGTCAATTGACCATACTTTATTATCATAGGATTTTCAAATTCATGACTCCTTTGGGATAAATTATAGGAGATTGTCTTTTGAGTGAGACCAATAAATGAGAAACATAAACAAATAAAAAATGTATTATTAATCATGCAATAATGCTAATATGAAATAAGTAATGATACAGAATAAATAAATAAAATAATAAAATAAAATGGTAAAACAAAATTGGTGAATTTTTTGAATATAGGTCAAAGGATCAAAAGTTGGATTCATATTTAGAGAACGCCCTTTGATGGGGACAAATGCTTCATCTGACACCTTCGACGTCATCCATTTTGGAATTCATTGTCGGCAAAAGAACAACAGTATGAAAGAGACCCAAATCAACATAGTCACCAGCTTTCAGACCTCAGTATCTTCTTCTTTGTTGTTGATCCTCTTGTAATTCAAAACCCTACTTTAGCACTCTTTTGGGTTTTCACTAAGGTTACCCCCACTCTTTTTTTTTCATTTTTCTTTATTTTTTCTTTATTTTTTCTCTTTTTTCCTTTTTCTTTTTCTTTCTTTCATTTTTTTGTTTTTGTTTTTGTTTTTCGTTTTTGTTTTTCTCTTTTTCTTTTTCTTTTTTTTTAGAAGGTGCCCTTTCAGGTTTTCACCTAGAGACATAGACAAGACAATTTTAACCCCAACTGTATCAATGCAGTCATACTCTGATAATGAGTAACATCAGTGAGACAATCTTCTCTGACATGTTTCAGAAAAGTTTATATTTACATCATTTGCTAGTTGATTAAGAAAAAAAAACTTTTCAAAATACTGCAAAAGATGAAATTCAGCAATTTTGGTTCTTGTGATTAGGATCGGATAAAGTAGCAAAGGAAAGGTTAAGGCTTAAAAGGCTTGACAGCGGATCATATGATGGGTTTGTAATCATTTGAGATAGCATTCTTTCAAAACTTACCCCGATCTAGGGTGAGAAAGAGATAAAATTTGCCCCAGTTTAATTCTGACCGAATCTCTATTTTCTTTTTTTTTTCTCTATTTTCTTTTTCTTCTCTCTCTCTCTCTCTTTTAAAGAAACAAAATTGCCCTAGTATGGGGTTCGTGATCTTAAAGGACTGCCAAGTGAAAAAGGAAAATGGTTATGAAAAGTCAAAAGGAAAGAAGAAAAATTAGGGATAGAATATCGAAATGGAAAAATGAGAGGAAGTATGCCTGAAATCCGTCTCTTGCAGTATTTTTTAAAGAATTTTTTTTTAATAATCAAATGAAAAACTTTTTGCACATGTCTGCATTGATTAGTTGGGGAAAAACTTGACCGTCCATTTCCATAAGAATAAGCGCTCCTCCAGATAGAACTTTCTTAACAATGAATGGTCCTTGCTAATTGGGAGCAAACTTCTCTTTAGCCTCATCTTGCATTGGAAGAATCCGTTTCAAAACCTTATCTCCAACATCAAACAAACGGGGCTTGACTTTTTTGTTGTAAGCCCGAGCCATTCGTTGCTGATAATATTGTCCATGGTAGACGGCATTCAACCTCTTTTCATCAATCAAGGACAACTGCTCCTGACGTTCCCTGACCCATTCAGCTTCTTCTATCTGAGCTTCCATCAGAATGCGTAAGGAAGGAATTTCAATTTCTACAGGTAGTACTGCTTCCATTTCATACATAAGAGAGTAAGGAGTTGCACCAGTAGAAGTTCTGATAGTAGTTATGTAGGCCATCAATGCGTAAGGCAGCTTCTCATGCCAATCCCGATGTGCTTCAGTCATCTTACGAATGATTTTCTTCAAGTTCTTATTTGCGGTTTCGACGGCTTCATTCATCTGAGGCCTGTAAATGGCAGAATTTTGATGTCTGATTTTGAACTGTTCACATAATCCATCTACCATATCATTGTTGAGGTTTTTGGCATTATCAGTGATCAACGTCTCTGGTACCCCAAAACGACAGATGATATTATTTCTCAAAAAATTCGACACCACTTTCTTAGTCACATGCTTATAGGTCGTGGCCTCAACCCACTTGGTGAAATATTCAATCGCCACTAAGATGAATCGATGCCCATTTGAAGCAGGAGGATCAATAGTTCCGATCACATCCATTCCCCAGATTGAACATGGCTATGGAGCAGTCATACTATGCAATTCTGTAGGAGGAGCACGTATAACATCACCAGGCATTTGACACTTAATACACTTTCTAACATAATCTACACAGTCATGCTCCATGGTAAGCCAAAAATATCATGTTCTCATGATCTTTTTAGCCAATAGATGCCCATTCATGTGTGACCCACAAACCCCACTATGCACTTCTTTCATCATATAATCGGCTTCCTCTTCATTGATGCCTCTCAGAAGGCCCAAATCAGATGTTTTCTTGTATAGCACTTCTCCATTCAAGAAAAATCTTGCTGACATTCTGTGTAAAAAATTTTTTGCAACAGCATCAGCGTCAGGAGGGTAGGATCCCGTTTTCATGAATTCCTTAATATCATTGTACCAGGAGCGGCCATCAATGACCCTTTCAGTAACCAGACAGTGCGCTGGCCTATTCTGAAGTTGGATCTATATAGGTTCAATCACCAGCTCATCTGGATGTTGGATCATCGAAAACAGAGTAGCTAAAGCATCAGCAAAGGCATTACGAGTGCGGGGAATATGTTTCCAAATTCCTGAATTTGCTGGCCAAACTAAGCAAGTTACAATGATACAACATAATTTTTGAATCCCGAGTTACCTACTGTTTAAGCGTCTGGTGCACAAGTAAATCGGAATCACTGAATGCTATCAAGTCCTTGATTTTCATGTCCAATGCCATTTATAATTCAAAAATACAAGCTTCATACTCAGCCATGTTGTTAGTACAAGGAAACCGTAATTTGGCAGTAACGGGATAGTGCTTCCCTTCAGGCGACACTAAAACTGCTCCAATTTCAGCTCCGAGAGAATTTGACGCACCATCGAAAAATAACCTCCATCCAGGATGCTGCTCACTCATGTCCTCAATTGCTCCAATGAACAGAATTTTTTCATCAGGAAAATAGGTATGCAATGGCTGGTAATCATCATCTCTTGGATTTTCTGCCAAATGATCTGCTATGGCTTGACCCTTGACTACCTTTTGTGTTGTGAAGACAATGTCGAACTCGAAAAGGATCATTTGCCACTTAGCCATATGTCCCGTGGGCATTGACTTTTCCAACAGATATTTTAGAGGATCAGAACGAGAAATCAAGTAAGTGGTATAACCGAGCAAATAATATGTCAACTTCTGAGCTGCCTATGCTAAAGCACAACAACTTCTCTCAAGGAAAGAATAGTTAGCCTTATATGTTGTAAATTTCTTGCTCAGATAGTAGATGGCTTGTTCTTTTCTTCCAGACTCGTCATGTTGTCCCAAAACGCATCCGACAGCCTCATCAAGAACAGACAAGTACATAATCAGAGGTCTCCCTGGCTGAGGTGGCACTAAGACCGGAGGATTTAACAAATAATTCTTGATCTTATCGAAAGCTTGCTGACAATCTTCATTCCAATCCATTGGTGCATTCTTTTTTAACAGTTTGAACAGAGGCTCACAGGTAGAGGTTAATTGTGCAATGAATCGGCCAATGAAATTGATCTTTTCAAGAAAACTCTTCACGTCTTTTTGACATTTTGGAATGGGCATATCTCGAATTGCTTTTATTTTCGTAGGATCTATCTCTATACCCTTTTTGCTGACAATAAAACCCAATAACTTACCAGTCGGAGCTCCAAAAGCACATTTCGCAGGGTTCAACTTCAAATTATACTTTCTCAATCTTTCAAACAGCTTCTTTAAATCAACCAAATGGTCCTCAATCTTCTTGGATTTAATTATGATGTCATCCACATAAACTTCCATCTCTTTGTGAATCATGTCATGGAACAGGGTAGTCATGGTCCTCTGATAAGTGACACCAGCATTCTTTAACCCGAAAGGTATCACTCGATAACAAAAAGTTCCCAATAGGGTGATAAAAGAGATTTTTTCTCTGTCTTCTTCTGCCATTAAGATTTGATGATACCCAGCAAAACAGTCACCAAAAGATTCAATTTTGTGTCCAGCAGTATTGTCCAAAAGAATATGAATGTTTGACAAAGAAAAATCGTCTTTCGGACTGGCCTTATTCAGATCTCTGTAATCAACACATACTCGCACCTCCCCAAATTTCTTAGGCACTGGCACAGGATTCGATAGCCAAATGGGATAATGAGACACCATGATTATCTTAGCATTGAGCTATTTCACAATTTGTTCCTTTATCTTAAGACTTATTTCTGATTTGAATTTACGTGGTTTCTGCTTGACAGGTAAAAAATTTGGATCAGTTGGCAACCTGTGAACCACTATGTCTGTAGAGATCCCTAGCATATCATCGTATGACCATGCAAACACATCTTGAAAAAGCATTAAGAATTCAATCATTTCCTCCTTCTGTTTCTTATTCAAATGAATGCTGACTTTAACTTCTTTAACCTCCGTTTTAGTGCCAATATTGATGATTTCTGTTTCTTCTAAGTTGGGTTTAGGTTTCTCTTCATACTGTTTTAAATCCCTTGAAATAGACTCAAATTCTTCCTCAGTATCGCTCTCGCTTTGAATTTCAGATTGCATGATTTCAAGTTCATGAGAGATATCGAGATTGCAGCCATCGAATTCCAAAATGGTGACATCCAAAGGGTCAAACGATTTTATTTATGGCCATCTGAAAATAGAATAGAACATAAGTAATCAATAAATAGCAAATACTGGAGAAGTCTTTCATTTCATTAAATTCAAAATGCATCGAGACTTCACAAAAAGATAAATATACAGACATGATTGCTATTTAAAGACATATTTAACCCAAATCTTTATTTTCGTTTTAGCAATTTTCTTGAACAAAACAAGCTATATTAACTAAAACAAGAATAAAGGCTTAAAAGATGAAAGCAATTTCTTTTAACAAAAGATCCAAACTACTGTCCTATCTGGATGTGATCTAGACAAAAGACAATCCCCTTAAATTTACCGAAATTTCCTTCGAAAGGAAAGATAATCAGCAGTCCAATTCTGGATAACTCCTTCGGTAATTGGCAAAAATTCTGCATCCTCTGATGGCTCCTCCTCACAAGTAGCCCCGACAAATAATTGAAACAGGTCCACTTCAATCTCCTCCACAGGATTCTTCGTTTCTGGCATAATCACCTCTGATGGACGAGAAAAGGTGTGACATAGCGGCGGGACGTTTAAGGAAGTTTGCTTACCCTTCTTTTCAGCTTGTTTTCGAGCTTGCATTTCCCTCCTATCCTTAGCAGTCGGATGAAATCCCAATCCAAATGTATCTTTCTGCATTGGGATCTCTATTGGCTCCAAAATTCTTTGTAATTCCCGCCCAAGACCTTTTCTATTTCATATTCGCCTCGGATCATCTCCCTAGCCATCATAATACTGGCCTTTGGCAAATCTGATTGAGCCGGCGACTTATCTTTGGATGCCCATCCCACAGAGACGATGTCAGCAACGTGATGTGATGAAGTTGGAGTCCTTTTCCTGTTTTCACCACTAAATTTTGCATCAACGATCATGGTATAGTCATTTTCAGCAAACACAGTAATGAGTTGATCATTCACAATAAACCTCAACATTTGATGCAGAGAAGATGACACTAAATTGGAAGCATGTATCCAAGGTCTTCCAAGCAAAATATTGTAAACACTGGAGAAGTCCATCACTTGGCAAGTAATTTGGAATTGAGTAGGGCCTATCTCCAATACCAGATTTGTTTCACCCATAGATTCCCTCCTTGAACCATCAAATCCTCAAACCACAGTTGCAGATGGACGGAGTTTAATGTCAAGAAATCCAAGCTTGGTGAGAGTGTTCCACGGACAGTTATTCAACGCTGACCCATTATCCACTAAAACCCTCGGCAATAGCTTTCCATTGCAACGGACTGATATATACAAAACTCTGTTATGCCCGATCCCTTCTGCAGTCAGATCATCATCGGAGAAGGCAATGCGATTAGCAGCAAGTATATTCCCCACAATGTTAGAAAATTTATCCACCGGAATATCTTTAGGGACTTGAGCTTCGTTTAGAATTTTGAGCAATGCTTCTCTATGCAGTTTGGAAATCAAGAGAAGATTCAGAAAAGAAATTTGAGCAGGCATTCTATCCAACTGCTCCACTATTTTGTATTCACTTCTCTTCAGCATCTTTAGAAAATCTACAACTTCATTTTCAGACACACGAGGCTTGGGTGTCGGAGATTTAACCTTAGCCCTGGATTGAACATCAATATCAGAGTTTTCCATGATTCTCCCAGACGTGGTAATAGTAGATACATCTTCCTTTAAGCATGTTTTATCTCCAACCAGCAAAATAGACTCCTTGTAGTTCCATGGCACCTCTTGCAGGTTATTGACAGGCATTTGTTCTGAAAATTCAAGAATGACAGGCTCTGATATATCCCATTCAAAATTTGGTACATCCAGAATAAAAGGAGATTTGTCAACCTCAGAAACTCCCCCTTCCGGTATAAACGGCTCCTCTTTTTCAAATACAAAAGATTTCAACTTTTTCTCAACATTATCATTGATCATGGACTTTTCAACAGAAGACAATTTTCTCATTCTGGCGTGGTCAGCCTCCATTACATCAAACACCTCAATTTCATCTACAATGTATTGAGTGGGATCGATAAAATCTCTATCAGCGATGATAACTCCCACAGTGCTCCCATGCTCAGGTAAAAGATTCTTATTGACATTCAGTCCTTGTTCACCCTTTCTTCTGAGAAGGATGTCGCCAGAGTCAATCATGTCTTGAATCTTATATTTTAAAGCCCAACAATTGCCAGTGGTATGACCTGGACTTCCAGAATGATAAGCACAAATTGCTTGCGGATCATAATCTGGAGGAATGCCTTTGGGATAAAGTTCGGGAGGAACGGTGCCAATTTTTCCAGTTGCTTTTAACTGCTCATATAATTGATCAATTGGTCGGCTCAAGTTGGTGAAGGTTCGAAATTGCTTCTGAGTTTGAATTCACTGGTTTGAAAAGGATTTTGAGAAGGGTTATTGTTTTGTAGGGTTGGTTTGGGATGGTAAATGGGACGAGTGTGATTTTGAAAGATAGGTTGTGGGGTTGGAGGTAACGGTGAGGTATTCAAGTGATTTGGTCGGGAATGATGGGGTTGGATAGTAGTGTGGTAGACTGGTTGAGGATTGGTATAATACGAGTAAGGAAAAGAATAGGTGGGATGGTTTCTGGGTTTGAAAGATGGGCCTTGATCCCATACAAAAGCAGTTTTTCCTTCTTTCTTTTTAAATGGGGGTTTTTTCCCACTGTTGCTTTGATTTTGTAAAGCATCCAATTGCAACTTTAATGCAAATACATTAACAATCTTCCCCGCTTTGACAAATTCATCATACTCCTCTAACTTGTTAATGATAGCAGCAAACGAACTTCCAGTCATGCAAAAAATCTCTTCAAAATAGGGTGGATCGTGAGTCTTGATAAAAGTACGAGCAATCTCCTCCTCAGTCATAGGAGGCTCCACTTTGGCAGTTAACTTTCTCCACCGCTTTGCGTAGGTCTTGTGATCTTCCGACGGCTTTCTTTTCGTACCCTCCAGTGTGGTTCGTGTTGGTGCCAACTCACAGTTAAATTCATATTACTTCACAAAAGCTGTTGATAGATCCAACCAGGTTTTGACTTCTTCAGGTTTCAAATTTGAATACCAATCTAGAGCATCTCCCTCCAAACTTTTCGAAAATAGACGCATAGGCAAATTCTCATCATCCACGGGTTTACCTAACTTGTTGGCAAACATCTTGAGATGCGTCTTAGGATTTCCAATTCCATCATACTTTTTGAATTTGGGAGTTTTGAATCCCAACGATAGCTAAATATCTGGAAAAAGACACAATTCATCGTAGTCCAAACCACCATGTCTGCTTAACCCTTGATTCTTTTTCATAAAATCATCAAATCGATCCAACCTTCTTAATAGATCTTTGTCAATGGGTGTAGACTGTTCTTCTATTGCCACCTTTTCTTGAGATGTAGCATCCAGTACAAAAGGCTCTGTAATGTGGTGGTGGGGTCCCTGAGGGTTGGGGGGAACGTTCAGATTAGTTTGTGGATGGGTTTGAGGGATTTGATTACTGGTTGGGTTTACCAATACATAATTCGGATGCATATAGGAAAAGTCTGAATTTAGTCGGGTAAAGGTATTTTCAAGAGGGTTAGGGAAAGAAGGAAAGAAAGGTGTTTGGGTATTGGATGTGTGGGGTGGTTGATAGTCTTGTGCAGGTGGGTGATTATCAATAGGCTTTTGGTCATTTGGGACACCACCACCACTGTTGCTGGCGACCAACTGATCAATTACACGCCTTTGCGAGGCTATTTCAGCATTTAACTCATTGAACTTGCCAAGTATCTCACTTAATTGAGCTCCCAACGCTGTGAGGTCCGGTGATGTAACTACAACAGATCTTTCTGAAGTTTCTGGTACTGAACTCATGTTTACAGACTGTCTCAAGGCTTTACTTCGGGACCTGGTGATGATGGGACTTTTTCGAGTAGCTATTGTGAAAAATACCTGATAGTGGAGAAAAGAAACTGATTTAGGATTGAATTTTCTGTCAAAATGCTGTAATTTATTCAAGAAAAAAGAAAGAAAAAAAAACATGAGTCAGTAGATATTTAAATAATTTGGATGCATGTCCTATGGGGGAACCCTTTTTTGCCAAGGGTAGGTCTAATATGATGCAACACCTTCGGGGTAAAATCCCAATTTCAAACCTATAAGTGAATGTAGAGATCAAAGTAGAAATTCTCATTAAACACTGACAAGTTTAATCATACTTTACAGCTTCATTGATGGTTCGGCTGACCATTTTTACAAAATTCTCATGCCTTGCTAAACTAGTACGTTGAGACTCCTTAGAACTTCCAATACTAAGTTTCCAAATTCCTTCTTGAATTTTATCAAATGCATCCAGTGCTCTTTCCAACTTTTCAGTTTTTCTTGTCTCCTATTTTAATTGTGCTCGGGCGTCTTCCAGGGCATGGTCTGCCACTATAAGTTGCAATCGATAATCCTCGAGCTCTTTCTTCAGCTTGTCTATTTACTCTTCAGGGCTAGCGGGAGCGGACTGTGACTTTTCTCGTGCTTCTTCGACTGTCAGTTTGATCCACTCATTATATTCTGAAATGACCTTAGGTTCCAATTTGTTGACCTGATCCAAGTGCAAGTTCTCTAAAGTACGAAGATTTCCCCAATCTTTCAATACCATGCTCCGATTCGCAGCAACTGTGTTGAGTCTAATATTCCCAATTCCTTGTATTATCAGAATTCTTTGTGGATACCCAAATTACCTCATGACTCGTTACGGAACATATGCGACCAATCCATTAGTGCCTGCTAGGGAGATAAAACTATGTTGGGTAGTCGTGAAAACCGGATCCCTAACTTTTGTCCAATCCAAAACCCATTGTATTTTATCAGGTGTCAAGTTATCGAATTCTTGAATAAACTGACTCGGAGATGCAATTCAATAATACTTTTTGACCATTTCTCAGTGTGATTCGATCCAATTCTCTGCGGGGAGACAAGATCCCAAAGGATTGAGCATTCTCTTCGCTAGATGCTCCATTGCCCATATTTGGAGTATCAAATTTGACCCATAAAAGAAACCTCTCTTCTTTTGACATTCAGTAGCGGCCATGAAGATGTCGGCAATGATTAGAGGTACCAAGGTAGGGGTTATTCCATTAATTCCTAAAAATAAGCTCTGAACCATGTTGATCGTGGAAAATGTGATCTTTCCATGCTTTTGCGGGAACAACAACAAATTGATCAAAGCTAATCCAAGCGCTTGCACTCGCTTCTCTACCCATTGCTCTTTACTTATGAAAAAAATCGGTTTGGTACTGTTCATAGGACCCTCTTTCACCAAATCGCTCATACAGAAACTCTAACGGGCACGATCTCGCATCCGGATATTGGTTCATACTAGCTTGCCTTATTCCCAAAAACCTATAAAACTGTTCCCTTGTTCCACTAGTTGGATATATCATAGGATAACCTTTCCCGGGTATCTGCAATAATCTTTCTATTTCTTCTAAAGTTGGTGTTAATTCACAATCATCGAATCGAAAAATAGAACCTTCAGGATCCCAGTACCCAAGTAAAGCTTGAATTATTGCAACATTCGGGGTTATGCTGAGAAGACTCGGTAAATGTCCCACATATTTGAACAGTCTTTTCACCTCATGTCTCATATTATTTTCCCAATCTTTTAGTTCTCGAGGTATCTGGTTCAACATTCTACATGGAGCCATCTGAGAAGAAATTTCACTTTTATTACCTTACCTCGGGATTTTACCCCTTAGGCAATACAAAATTGTAAACATGCAAGTCTCATTGGATTACATATCCGAGACAAAAATTGGCTTATTTCTAACGTGGGATTCCCTATGTGGCATTCCCTCTAAGATTAATGCATGATGACAATTGATTAAAGCATATTAAATATACAATAAAATAATTGAAATATGACCTAAAAGTGCCCCATTTAAATGCCGGGGTAAGCCTAAAATGATGTGCAGTACATATGCGTATGCAATTAACTAAAATTTAAACATGCTTGATATAAAAAGCAGTCTTATCCTAAACGAGTACCATGTTAGGACTCTTATTTCTAATGTTTGTGTATGCAAAAAAGGAGAAAACAAGGAGAGGTTAGTTCAATTGATATATGACACATAACACATTGGAGCAAACAAGAATAATATGAAAAATAAAAGGCAATTAAAGAAAGAGGAGTGTAATCCCTCCCCTCATGCCTAGTGTTCCTAATTATGTAGGTTGAATCTAACCTGGGCGATTTCTATCATGGATGTAGACACCAAATTTTTAATGTATTTTTACTTACTATTATTTTTATTTTTCATGTTAGTTTTTATTTACTTTTAGTCTTTTATTTTTATTTTAAGTCATTTTAGCATAGAATTTTGCGGGAAAAGACGGAAGAATTATTAGCATTTTGTTTTTATCTTTTATTCCTAGTTTTGTTCATTTTATCTGATTTTATTGTTATTTTTCTTTATTTAGTTCATTATTATTAATTAAGTTGTTAAAAAAAAAAGGAAACCCGAGAGCGGGTTTTGGGCTGTTTAAGAGGGTCTGAAGAGAAAGAAAAAAAAAAGGAAAAGGAAAAGGGGACCCGCTCTATTTCTTCAAATTTCGCATGGCTTCAAATAACACAGAAACAAAATGGCGACAGAGTTTTGGCTCATTTCCCACTCAATTTTTTTTCGCATTTTCTTTTCCTATCCAGTTTATCCGGTACAAAGCCATCTCACATCTCCAAGATTTACTGAGAATATTCTAGGACAAGAGCCATCAAACGGCTCCCGGATACTAGGGAAAATACAGAAAAACTAGCGCCATTGGATGCTAGGGTAAGGAAGATGCTAGTAGCTATAAAACTTGGTGACGGCTGGAGTTTTAGGGGAGAGAGGAGAGTGAAGTAAAAAGGGAAGGCTGGCGGCTAGGGAAAAAAAAACTTCAAGGAAGCTGCGGGGAATGGGGGAGATTTGAGAGGCTCTAGTTGACGGCTGATAAGAAAAAGGAAAAAACAGAAAAAGAAACTAAGAGAGTCTGCGGGGGTATTAGGAAAGGAACCGAGGGGAGCTAAAGAGAGATTGGAAAAGCAGAGTGACGGCGGAAAAATCTAGAGCAAGAGAGAGAGCTGGGGGTCCGTGTGGTGACCCCACTTCCCTCTAAGGCAAACCAAAGGGTTGGCGGGCCGTCTGCCCAACTCTCGCCAGGACTCACGCAAGCATTCTAACCCAAAACCTTCCGAAGAATAACCTAATCTATTACAAAACAATTCCTCCGAAGAAGACCGTCACTAAAACCACATTAACTTCAGAGATAGCGGTGATTTAAAATAGCCAAACGACGGCTCCTACACATGTCACGCGTTGTGAACTACGGAATAGAATCGTACCGTCCCAACTAAGAAGAAAATTCATACAACAAAATACAACAATCAAGCCAAGCATCCAAAATTAAGTTTTACACATTTTCCAGCTTCAAGTGGCAATCCAAAATAAAAGTACATTATCCAACTTTAACACACTACAGCCCACACAAATAGTCATAGTATACAAATACATCCCAAAATGAAACATGGATAAGTTTCAAATCTTTCAATTTCCAGAACCTGTCAAGAAAAACAAATAAACGTGGGGTGAGCTAAAGCTCAGTGGTGCCCCAAAACATGCAATCACATAATATCAAACAGCGGTTAATAACTTAGCAAAATTTAAACAGTTAGGAAAGCGTATAACAGCACAAGGTAGGATACAGGGGCTTTCAGGAGCCATTTTCCTCGCTTGATCACCATTTATCGTAGTTGACCCTCCGTCAACTCTCACTACTTATAATCCATGTTGAGCGTCTCATTTTGATACCTAACCCGTCACCATTCATACTCCTGTCCCGGGCCCGCTCACCGACTAAGGACGCAGTAT